TAATACTAGTATTAAAAAATCTACGTGCAAAAAACAAACGTCACCCTTCCAACGGGACGAAAAGAGTACGATTTATGTTAATACAATACAAACATTATATAATATATAATTAACAGCACACGTTGGATTTACGTTAGATGACATGCAATTAATTTTTATTTAAAGTAATAGATCTAATACTCCATTTATTTTATATAATTTGTTTATTTTTGTTCGTTCTATGTAATTTGTTATTTTTTTTAAATATAATTATATATTTTAATTATATCTTAAAATTTATGATTTTTTTTTAAATTTTATTTTACATAACTGTTTAGTCATCGTAATCTCAATCTATACTTATTTTTATTAATACACTTCTTACTTACTTACTAATTATACAATACTTACAACTTTGTGCCCCAGTTAAAAAGGACAAATAAGGTGAGACGGATGAAGTACTATTTTCTATTACAAATATTATGTCTATAGGTATGGTGTGTTTAGTTTGTATTTCAAAACAAAACTACCATAATTTATTATTATTTTTTTAAATACTATTTTGTATTACAAAATATCAAATCAAGTTACTATTTAAATTAAACTCAAATTAAAACATCAATTTCAAATCAAAATCAAACAAATTAATACTAAGGTTTTTTTTTTTTTTTTCTTTTTACTATTTTAAATTCAAATTAACATTGTTCATTCCAAATCAATAGAAACACACTATTTTATCACATAAAATATCACATTACATAAAATATCACATCAAAATACAATTTAAATAAAAATTTAAATCAAAATTCAATTTTAAATTAATTACAAACAACAACCAAATAAACCCTAAATATTCCTAGAATTTAGAAAATATTACATTATATATATATATATTATATAAAGTATAGTATCAAATACTAACATTTTATTATATATATAATAAAAAATTAACTTACAAAATTTTCATTTTTTTTTTAAAAAAAACGGATCGTATATCAATTTTTTATTTTTATTTTATATATATATATATATGGTAAACTGTTTTTTTTAGTCCCGTAACTGGACCCCTTTATCATTTTAATCCTGTAAGTGGAGCCTGTCGCAAACTAGTCCTATAAGTGAAAAAATTTCGTTGTTTTAGTCCTCCGGCGCCGTAGACGCCCTCGTGGCTCGCCAGAGGTGACGTGTTTGCCAGGTATGGACACGTGGATTTATTTATTTATTTATTTTTATTTTTTTAAATTTTTTAATTGGACCAAATAAAAAAATAAAAAAATACAAGTAAAATTTAAAATAAATTAAAAATAAGTTTTAAAAAATGAAAAAAAATAAAAAAATCTACGTGTCCGCCAGGTCAGCGACACTTGGCGGACCCGTCACATCCGGCGAGCCACACGGGCATCTCCGTCGCCGGAGGACTAAAACAACAAAAAATTTTCACTTATGAGACTAGTTTGCGACATGCTCCACTTACAGGACTAAAATTATAAAGGAGTCCAGTTACGGGACTAAAAAAACAGTTTACCTATGTATATATAAATTGTACTTGGTTTTAAAATTATAAAAATACTAAACACATGCATAAATTCACAAACAAACTGCCATTCAAATTTTGTGGAGGTAGATGTGATGTTTTTAAAAATAAAAAAATAATGATGTAAAAAAAAAAAAAACCAATATATTCAATTTTTTATATGAATATAATTACGGACAGTGTTTAATTGAATTTAAAAGCGAATATTAATTGAATCTTTATGACAATAATAATAGTTTTTACAATTTTGGTCCACCTACGAACTTAAATTTCAATTTTAAATTAAACCGTGACGATATTAATTTTTTTTTTTTTTTTAAAAACCCATGATTTCTTCTAATATTTTTTTACTACTATTAATTTTAAAATATACTCCCTCCTCCGTCCACTTACCATGTTTATATATTTTTATTTTGGAACTTCCAATTACAAAGTTAACATTTCATTAAATACCCTACTTTTTTCCACGAATATCATTACTTTACATCATATCATTACCTTTTACGCAAAAAAGTAAAAACAAAAATGTTATTACACTACTTTTAACTACTCACTATAATTAAAATACTATTATTTCTTAAACACCGCGCCAAAAGTAAATGTAAACATTGTAAGTGGACGGAGGGAGAGAGTATTACTATTTATTTATTCAATTTATCATATGATTATTTTATCTAAAAATACAAATAATAATAATAATTATAATAACAACATAAATAAATCAATGGACTATATATTTATTTCATAATTTTTATATTGGCCATAAATTTTTGTATTTTAGTAAAAAAATATCATTTTTTTTTATTATTTTTTTTTAGTCAAAAAATAAAAGTTTCTATTTTTACCTATTTTTCTTAAAATTCATGCAAAATGAACACACAATTGGATGATAGAGGGAGTACTAGTTATGAATTTTTTTAATAAAAATTTAATATTTAATATGTTTTTTTTAAAAAAATTAAATAATAAAAATAAACAAATCAAATCAAATCAAATAATACTCCATAAGAACAAATATGATGCTTTGAATAAAATATGAATATTCTGCATTATAAATTTTCTAAAAAAATAAATTAAATAGTTAGAAAAATTAAATTTTAAAAGAACATGTGTACTAGTACTTTTTCTATCATTATAGTATATAATATATTTTCTTATAATATAGTTATTCCGTCCCATATCTATATATCTATTTGTTTTTTACACAAAATTTTAGAAATATTAGGATAAAGTAGAAATAAAGGTAAAATGACTAAATTAACCCTATTAGTATTGTATGATATAAATGTAATGACATTTGTGTAATATCTTGTAAATTAGAAAGATATTTGTAATGTTAGGTAGATAGTACAATTACTAAAAAAAAAATGGATACTTTGTTATGGAACGAACCAAAATGAAAAAATAAATAGATTGTCAAGGGACGGAGGCAAAGGGAAGGAGTATTTGAGTTTGATTGATATTAGTTTCAAAATCAAAATTGGTTTTTAATAAAAATATTATATTTATTTTTTCAGAACATATCATATTAAAAATATATATATATATATATAATCAAAATCAAAATCCTCTAAATTTAATTACTATCTAAATAAAATCCAAATTTAAAATACAAAACACATGCAAAAAAAATACCATAATGATGGAAAAAGTATTATCACTAATTGCAGAATATTCTTGTTTTAGATTAGCAATTAATTTTCAAATTCATACTGTTTAAATTTTAAATTTTTAATAAAAATATATAACTTTCTCTTATAAATTATCAAATTAAAATTACTATTTAATTAGAAAACTAATTTCAAATTTTCAAAATATCACAAAAGAACACAAATTTTAGTTGATTTTACTTTTAATTGAATTAATGAAATTTTGGTTTTGTTTGATTTGTGTGTTAACCAACTCTTTTCACTATTGAATCTACCAATAATACTACATTATTTTTTCTTACTTCCTCTGTCCCGATTATGGTATTCACGTTACCGTAAATATAAGAATTTAAGAGATGTATAATCAATTATAATTAAAATTATATTAGTCAAAATAATTATCGTATAATAAAAATAATTATAAATTACGATTAATATAACAGATTAATCTAACAAAAATTAAAAAATTATAAATTAAAATATTTAAAATAAAATGAAAATGTATAATTTTATTTTATTTTTTAAGAAATAACAAAATAAACGAGAGACAGACATAAATGAAAATATGTATACAATAAATAGGACCGAATTAATATTAATTATCAAATTAAGATATTATTTAATCAAAACTCATAAAAAATTTTCAAATTCAAATACAAACCAAGCAAACTCAATTAACTTATATTTCTTATTTAAATTTAATTATTACATAAAAGAATATATTTTATATAATAATATCATAGTTAAATATGTGATTATTTTTACTAAATATAAAATCAGTAATTTTGAATGGAATAAACAAAAATGGTAAAAAAATACTATCAATTATAAGGAAAAAAATACTTTTCTATTACCTCTCTCCTTAACTTGTCAGTTTTTAGTATAATTAGATGGGTTACATCTATTAAGAAATACAGTTAATACTAATTTATTGCCTTTATCAAGAACTTATTACATTTATGAAAATAATAAATAAATTATTATTTAATTAATTATAACTTAAAATTTAAAATTTATCAATAATTTATTTATACAAATACTAATTCAAATTTATCTCAAAAAATCATGACTCACTATATATTTTTTCAATAATCTTTTTTATATATTCAATTTTATTATTTAAAAATTTTAAAATTTTTTTATATAATCTATTTTCAACTAGTTCTTTGAGAAACCAAAAATTATTTTGGCAATAAATTAGTCCTAATTTATTTAAATCATTCAAATTTTTAAATGCTACTAATTTTATAAATTAGAATAATTTTAATATTTCATTATATAAAATTTTATATAATATTATTATAGTTTATATAAATTAATATTTTAAAGATAAAAATATAATATTTCATATTAAATATTATATATATATTATTAGATAATAAAAATATATAAAAATAAATAATTATAATAAATTTTATAAAATTATAAAGGTAATAGTTAAAAGAAAATAATTTGAATGTTGACGTGATACGGTGATATAACTTGGAGAACAGAGGTAAAAAAAAGAATACAGTAAAAACACACTTATAGTAAAGAATGCTCTAATAATACTATTTTATTTTTTATCTATTCCATATTTAAATATTGTGACATAAATAATTAAATATAATTTAACAAAAACGAAACTTTTTAGTGACGGATTCACACATAATTTAAAATTACCATATGTTAAACCAATATTAGTATTATTATTTTTTTTTTTATAAAAAAAGAAAAGTTCAAAAAAGAAAGTAATAAAAAAAAAAAGAAAGAAAAGAAAAAGAAAGCCTTTGGTGGGCGTGCATTGATGATGGGTTAGCGTCACAGCGGGTGAGATTATCAGAATCACTCTCCTCAAACTCCCCACCCCAAAACTTTCCCTTTCCCTGTCTCGCCCTCTACAGTTCTCTCTCAGCAGAGCTCTGCCTTGCCTTGCATACAGTTCTGTACAATTCTCCCTTCCCCACGCACTACACGCACATATATGCTCCACGTACATTCTTCATCGTTCTGCCACAACAAGAAGAAGAAGGGAAGGAGCAATTCTGGATAGACAGAGAGAGTCAAAGAGGGAGAAGAGATAAGTAATGGGAGGAGTCACGTCGTCCATGGCAGCAAAAATGGCCTTCTTCCCGCCGACCCCGCCGAGCTACAAGCTGATTACCGACGACGCTACCGGGCTGCTGCTGATGCACCCCTTCCCGCACCGGGAGAACGTCGATGTTTTGAAGCTTCGGACGCGGCGGGGGACGGAAATTGTGGCGGTCTACGTGCGGTACCCGCTAGCGACATCCACGCTTCTGTACTCGCACGGGAACGCGGCGGATGTTGGGCAGATGTACGAGCTTTTCGTCGAGCTCAGCATTCATCTCAAAGTTAATCTATTGGGGTAATTAATTTCTCCGTTTTCAGTTCAATTTAGGTATAGCTTTGGAAGTTGAAGCGATTTTGTTGGTGAATTGGTTTGTTCGATGCTTTTAATTTTGGGCATTTTTGTTCAATTGTTCTTTGAATCGTCGTATTTGCTGGTTAATGATTGATTCGACGCCATTGATGTGAAGATCCTGTGCTTAGTTTGTGCTTATTCGTTTCTTCATCAAATCATTGATTGATTTTTCATGCTAAAAATGAACTTTACAATGACTAACATCATCATTCTGACATCTGAGTTGTTAGCATTGTTGGACAGATGGATTCTTTGTTTTCGTGTGCTGTTTGAATGAAATGTTATAATATTGATTTCTTGGTTAAGATACGATGAAGATTTCCTCATGTATGATTTAAGATGATTCCAGTAGCTGTCAGGGTTTTAAAAAAATGCAATTATGCATAGAGGATTTACGACACTAGTATTCGAATATATAACTTAGTTGCTGCGGCAAGCCCGGAAAAGAGACTGTTGTTAAATGAGTAAAAGTTAGTGAAAACAAATCGATGGCCGGACTAGGAGAGAATTCACTACTATTCTAACACTTTGGTTAATTGTTTTCTACATAATGTGATGATTTATTTTATATTTCTCTCTTTATTTTGATTGGTCCGTCTCCTTTCCGCCGATTAGTTCATGTGTTGGGATGTGACAGCCTTGAAATGGCAGTGATCGTTTTATTTATTCGTAGAGCATGTTTTTTGATATTCAAATAATAGAGACAAATGAACATGGGGATGGGTGACATGTGCTTGGTATATTTTTTAAAAGAAGTTTCTTGTATGGATCTGCTAACCACTTAAAGCTTCACACAAGGTATTTTTTTATTTCCTTTTTCCTTTTTCTTTTGAATAATTTTCTACTAAATGCCAACATGAAGTTTAGTGTCAATTTAATAACTATTGCTTTACTTTTAAAAGTTACTCGTTATAGGATTATACGAGTAGAATAAAGGCAGAGAAGAGTGTCTATTTTTATTGTTTTTGGCCGAAGACAATATGTGGAATACTGTTCTGTGACAATAGAGTGACTCAAGCTTTCGACTTTTATTAGTCTTTTACTTACGAATAAGTTCATTGCTAAACCTTTACCTAGAAAAGTGATTTTGAGTGTGGCATAATTGCATGGGAACTCTGTAGAATTTTTTTTTTCTCATGTTAAGTAAGAGTTAGAAAGGTTTCAGTTTCAGATTCGAAAGGATTTATAGAAGTGCTGGTGTCGAGACTTATGAACTTGATCTGTGAAAGGGGAATACACAGTTTTGTAGATTGGAAGAACACCTTGGGTTTATTGGTTAATTTATACAGTGCTTAACTATTGCCAATGCATACTATCACTGCATGAAGTTTCTTTCCTCGATAATGTATCTTGTAGACGTAAGGGTGTGTTTGGTTGAGGGTTTGGATTTTGAATAGTAAAAAAGGTGAAGTTGAATAGTTTTGTGAATATAAATGTGTTGACGTAATATTTTGAATGTTAAATTGATATTTAGTATTCCTTTCGTCCTACATAATTTGCCATGTGTTTCCATTTCGGTCCATCAGCATAATTTTTTATCATATTTTAAATTTTATAATTTATAATTTTTATAACTTTAATTAATTATATAGTTACTTTAATCGTAATCATTACTAATTATAATTTTTTTAAACGTATCTTCAGTATACGAGACACTTTATGTGAGACAGATGGAGTATAATATTAAAAAAAAGATGTTTTATTTGATATTTTTGGGAAAAAAAAATTAGTGAATAGTAAATTCGGGGTAAAGTCCGCAACCAAACACACCTTATAAAATTTAATGCCTTAATGTAAAAATGCAATGTATGGTTGAATGCATATGAGAAGAGTGTATTTTTAACCTAGAAAACATATCAAATTTATTGTTGTGTGCATGAGGTAAATGATAATTTTATTTTTAACCTGGAATATGCATCAACTCATTGAGACCTAGATGCAATTTATTGTTTATTATTGAGATTGGATGATTGAAAATAGGCAATTTCCGATTCTCAGCAAAAATGTATGTCAAACATCTGTTTGTATCACCATACTTAGATGTTAAACTTGAGATAAGTTATGGAGTTCCGATCATACATGTCACTACCGACTTTACCCGATAAAGATCTTGCCAGGATACAGCCTAACCTCAATTGTTACAGAATAAGTTAGTCCACGTGGCTTATGCTTTGTTTTTTCTGATCTATTATATGCAAGCCGTCCAATTTAATTAGATGCAATCGTGTACTCGTCACTTGTCACAAAGATTCGTATCACAAGTTTCTTATGAACACCTCTTTTACAGGTACGACTACTCGGGCTATGGGCAATCATCAGGAAAGGTTTGAAACTATGTCCTTCAATTATTAAATGATTCGTAATCTTGAGCTCACTTTCTTTGCTACAATTTTCTCCACTGCAGCCAAGTGAGCATAATACCTATGCAGACATTGAAGCTGCGTATAAATGTCTCGAAGAGAATTACGGGGCTAAGCAAGAAGATGTTATCCTCTATGGTCAATCTGTTGGCAGTGGACCTACTGTGGACCTTGCATCTCGTCTGCCTCGACTGCGTGCTGTTGTTTTGCATAGTCCTATTCTTTCGGGCTTACGAGTCATGTATCCAGTGAAGCGCACGTACTGGTTTGACATCTACAAGGTACTGCGACCATCATTAAATTATTTGCAATTTATTTCGTTTCATGCTAAATGTACTTTTCTCGGGAGTCCCTTGTGTTCTCTTTAGTTTTTAGTTCTCCCATCTCTGAACCTTCTGTATTTTTCCATTTTTTTTTTTACATAAGTGTAACGTTTGATCTTGGCCCTAAGCATGACTTTATCATGGCTTTACGCAGAATATCGACAAAATTCCCTTGGTGAAGTGCCCCGTTCTGGTTATTCATGTAAGTACTTCTTCGACTTATTGAAAATATACAAACAAAATCAAATCATGGGAAGAATCATGGTTGCAACTGTGATATCCGGAGCCGATATTATAAATTAGATATAGACACATAAAGACCGAATTATATCCCTAAAGTAAACACATCCTTACAGTATTCGTAATCCTTGAAAGTCATTTAGCCTATTCAGAAAGTTAAGAGCATAATATTTCCATCCGGAAGCCAATCTGCGGATATTTACCTTCTGCCTTTTACAATATAGCAAATTTTGATTTGATGTTACCATCTCATGAAAGAAATTTCTTTCAAATGCAGACTATAAATGTCATATCCTTCGGCTTCCTATACTGCTCGATATACATGTTTTTTCTCTATATCTGCACCGTCTTGCTATATCTGGTTCTGTTTTCTTTGCAGGGTACTGCTGATGACGTTGTCGACTACTCCCATGGAAAACAGCTTCACGAGCTATGCCAAGAGAAATACGAGCCGTTGTGGATCAAGGGTGGGAACCACTGCAACCTGGAACTATACCCCGAGTACATTAAGCACCTAAAAAAATTCGTGTCATTTGTCGACAAACCTCCCGCCCAAAGGATTTCATCAAGAAGAAGCATCGACCGGCCTGAACATTCCAGGAGGAGTACTGACTGCATTGAAGCTCCAAGGAAGAGCAGTGACCGAAGAGACAAACCTAAGCGGAGCACCACCAGTCGACCCGAAAAAGTAAAACCTTTCGAGTACAAATTCCACGAGGACAAGGTTTCCAAATTGCGGGCTTCGTTCGACCAAGTGGAGAGATCTCGGAGGAGCGTAGAGTACTACGAGAAGCCCCGGAGGAGCATCGACAATCAGCTGGAGAAGGGGCGCAGGAGCGTCGACTGGCTCGATAGGATACGGCCTGGCGCGTAACAGGTACTGTAAATTTCATTGTTCAATAGGTCATTAAGAAAAAAGGTAAAAAAAAACAAGATTGGGTTAAGTTATGGTGAATTGGAATTGGAATTGGAATTGGAATTGGGAATGGGATTGGGGTTGGGGTGTGTAACTTGCTCATTAATCATCTTCACTTCATAGCTGATACACTTCCTTTCGTCCCTTTTTCTTGTTGGAATTTGATGAAAATGAAAATGTGGGTGGGTATAGCATTCGATACTTGTCGTTCGCTTTAAGTTTCGACTTGTTTTATCGTAGCCAGCCGAGCTACTTTCGATATCTCGAGTAACAAAAGTTGACCCGAGTCGAGTAAATCTTAGAATGCGTTTCTTTGTGTTCGAAAAAATAAGTTGTGGAAAATGTGGGTTGGTATAGCATTCGATATTTGTGGTTCGAGTTAAGTTTTGACTTGTTTATCGTCGCCAACCGAGCTACTTCGATAACACGACCAACAAAAGTTGACCCGAGTCGAGTAAATTTAAGAATGTGTTTCTTTGTGTTCGAAAAAATAAGTTGTGGAAAATGTGGATTGTTAGAGCTTTCGATATTTGTCGTTCGAGTTAAGTTTCACATTGTTTATGCCGAGCTACTTTCGATGATAATTCGACTAACAAAAGTTGACTCGAGTCGAGTAAATCTAAGAATTGTTGATTGTGATTGGTAAAATAAAATAAAAATAAGTGTAATTATATTGTACAAGCTTTGAGTCCTTAAATGAATTTACAAATTTGTATGATGATTGTATTATTTATAGATGTGTCCAAATTAATTACATAACATGCATAGAATACCAACCACAAATTGCCCAATCAATGAAAGAAAGAAATAATGCATTGGAGCCAAATTTGATCACTAGCATGTGCTTTTGCCTAATTGATTGTGACATCATTATTTCAATAATAATAATAATAATATATAATGAATACTTTTCAATACAAAACTAAATATATATATATATTTTATTACCTGATCATCACTTTTATTTTGTAAATTTATATAATAGTTATATAATTTTGTTCTGAAATTTTATATGACATATAATGTCTAAATTTGAAAGCATAAAAAATAAAAAGATGTAATAGCTTATATAATCAAATAGTATAACTTATACAAAGATAAGATAGCAACCAAATATATGTATTTATTATACAGATACACAAGAATTTATAAAAAGAAAAAAAAAAAAAAAAAGATTTGCTTAAATTGTTCTCTAAAAGGGAGGTTGCGGTTGTTGGGATGTCTCATTATTTAAAATTATTAATTGATATTTTGATAAATTCATATTTAAGATATAAAAGTTATTTGCCTTGTGCTACTTGAAATTAAATTTAGAACTTTTATCTAGGGTGTGTTTATATTGAGTTTCAAGTTTGAAGTAGTTTTTAGGTTTATGTGGGTTATATATATAATATTTTTTATTAAATTATTTTTTAACTTATAAAATATATATATATATATATTATACTCCCTCCGTACATCTCTAAACGTTACATTTATCTTTTGCATTATTGTACTTAACATTAAAAATATATTTATATTTATATATTTTTTTATAAAATGTCATTCTATTAAGTATTATAAGACACTGGTAGAAATATTTTTGCACATTTTTCTTAATTTTTGTACTTCGTTTTAATATAATAATCAATATTCAAAGATCAACGTGCAAAAAGTAAATGAGACCCTTAGAGCCAGACGGAGATAGTATATTTTATGAGTATTTTTTTATGTTTAAATAATAATTTGTTAATAAATTTTGCAATAAAAAATAGTAATATATTTTTATAAATAATTGCATAAATAAAACTATAAAAAAAAAAACCAAAGCCTATATAGACATAAATGGATAATATCATATATAAATGAACATCTATATCAACATTTCGACTATATTTTTCACGATGCAAAAGCCACCTAATCACTCGTGCCAGGTAGTCTTGAGATTTTCAGCTTACCTCGCCGAGGACAACATTATAATTCCCAATTTTGAAATAAAAAAAGACAATATTAAATAAAATCAGCATATACCCAGCCACATGAAACATTTATATATATATACATATATAATTATATTCATCAACATCGGGATCCCCTCTTGCAATTAAGGGCGCCGGCACCACCGGTGATCGAGCTAATGAGGGTTGACGGGCGCGCCCCCAAGCTCGATGCCTTGGCATAGCTAGACGAGGTGGCACCACCCGATGGCGTAAAGAATGCACCGTTTAACATTAAGTCGCCTTCCGATCTCCAATTCCAATTTTTCCACGTGCTCTCTGGCGCATCTTCGTGTTTGGTTACCTATCACAAATTCGAGAATTTAGACTCTGTTTATATATATGTATTTAAAAAATTTGACATTTCGGAAGTAACTTTTTTAAACAGAAATAGTATAAAATGCTCATTTTTTCATAAAAAATATTACATCATATAATTACTTACTATTTTTAAAATTTGAAATATCACATCATATAATTCTTTACTATTTTTATCATTTTTCAAATTTTCAAATATGTCTAGTTAATCACAACATATGTATACATTTTTTAAGAATGTAGAGTAAAAATATTCAGTATTTTTTAAATCTTTTTTATTATTATTAATCTGATGTCAAAATTCTTGCAGTTTTTTTTTTTAATGATAAATTTACATTGTTTCTCCTCTTTTTTACCCATCTTTTTTTTTTTCAAAAAATATAGTATATCTTTCGGAAAGTACTATTTTTCAAAAGATATTTAGTAAAAATAATTATATATAAATATCAAAATAAACTTTAACTTTTATATATATTACAAATATACAGAAGCAAAAATTTCAAAATTATTATGCACATTTCTATAAAGTGCAATATGATCGTTCGGAAAGTAAGTGCAAAAATATTTTAAAAAAAATATCAAAATTAATTATACTATCATTTAAAAAATTGTGCCAAATGTAAATCAAACGGAACAGAGTTAGTATATCCTTTCTTCGAATTTAATTTAAGTATATTAATTATCGTTTTCATCCAACATTATAATTGCGTGGATGCATTTTGATTATGTAAATTACCTTATTTTTCACTTCTTTTGATCATGAAATTCCACATGCTAGTCATATAATTATTAAATTTCAAGACAAAAAAAAAGTAAAATAAATAAAAAATTACAACTATACAATTAAAAAAATAATAAAATATATGTATATATATATTGATTAATTTAATTTAATTTAATTTGATATATACCTCTTTATTGAATCTATCATTTGGGGCAAGATATCTATTGCCTTGGCTATTAATGGTGGGGTCAGCACTTCCTCCAATTGCATACATCTCCCAATGTGTGTAGTCATTGTTCACCACATGGAAGTAGCCATGTCTACATCTATACACAACAAAATATATACATAATTATATATATATATATATTGGATAGGAAAAACCCTAAATTATCATACATTATGATGTCCCACTTTTAGTAGTGTAGCATGTGATCATTCAATGTAAGCAAAATTGTCTAAAATCCCACAAAAAAAGGGATCAAATCTTGATGTAATGACTTTGTCCAAGATCCCACAAAAAATAAAAAAGATCAAATCTTGATGTAATTAACCTTTGTGGGTAAAAATTGTTACCTTGGCATTCTTTGGACAAGCCCTTCTCCAAAGTGATTAAAGGCAATTGTGACTTGCATTCCCTTGTCTTGAGTGTAAGTGTCACTATGTCCTAAGAGCATAACCTTGTCATGGTGAGTCAAGAAATTGTTCGAGATTGTAATAGCCGTCGATCCGTGGATAGCGTCGATGAGCCCGTCCGTGCAACTAGCTAACGAGCAATGGTCCACCCACACATGGCTCCCGCCAAAAATGGACACTCCATCGCCGTCGGATATGGTCCTCCAACCGTAGTGGTGTGGAGATGATCGGACATTGGCATTCCCTCCTCGCTTACAATCGTGTATATGTACCCCGTGGATGATAATGTTGGTCACGTACTGTATAGTGATGCACGGCCCGTTGGCAATGTGGACACTCGCGCCCCTACCGTCGATAGTTTTGAATGAGTTCATTATTAACTCTTCTTTTAACTGAATCACCATATCGCGTGCGAAGATGATCCATAAAGGATCATCTTGAACCACTGCAAAACGAAGGGTTCCGGGCTTAGGGTTGACGGGGTCGTCGTCCCCAGAGTCAGTGACGACGTAAATTTCCCCGTCTCTTCCCCCGATGGCACTTTTGCCGAAGCCAATGGCGCAATCCGCCAACTTTTGGCGATTCTTTTCCCAATTCGAGTCGCAACGCCAACAATCATCGATAGGGTTTCCCGTGTTGCACGACAAGAATCCTAATTTCCTCCTTGACGCGTTTAGCTTCCTACATTGTGTAAAATTCAAACAAAACAACAAACACAAGAGCATAAATCAATTAAACTTATAATGTTGCTAGCAAAAGAACAAGTTTAAGTAGTATTTATCTTTTTTCTTTTAGTATTTTTTTGTACATTACCTATGTACTTCATGTACAACTAATTCAGGGTCTTGTAGGGTTGGAAGTGAAGCAATAATGAGTGATGGGAATAGTAGACATAATATAAAGAATAAGAGGGCCATTGAAGAGAATGCCATAGCCAAGTTTGAGAAGAAATGAAAGGATTTCTTGATGAGTGAGAGAGTGGGAATAAAAAGTGGGGATTATAAAGGGCATAAAGAAGGTCATGGTGACATCAATAACTAAAACAAATAGGGCCCTTTATGTTGTTTTCCTATTGCTATATTAACACTTAAAAAAATAAAGATATATAGATTATATTTGCATAATCACAATATTCTTTAGTAATTTTTCCATAATACCTATATTTTATTTTATTTTTTTTATATATCCTACTTTTATATTAAAATACTATAACCTTTTAGCCTTAGTTTCCAATAAAAGTTATCACATCAACATTCCAAACGAATGAAGTATATAACAAAATTTTAATATAATATTTTATATATTTATATCAAAATGCATGTTTCGTACAGTCATTTACCTAAAATAATGGGAATTTTAAGAAACCTTCCGAATGTGTTCTTTTAACAAAAAATACACAAGTTTTTTCGAAAAAAAATTAATATTATCACATATATTCTTTATTTTTATATTTTCTACACAATTCATTGTACTTTACATAAAAGATATCCATTCAAATTATCTCACAAAACAAACACACCATCCGTTTCCTTGTCATCACCACATACACAACTAAATACTAAATCATAATATTGCAGTATATTGGATCTCAATTGGTGAAGAACCTCTATAAAACAAAACCAAAAAAAAATTAAAAATTGCAGAATGGAGAATGTAAATCCATAAAAAGGGACAATTTTCTTGCTTGAAGTATGTCTTAAAAAAAGACAATCTGATTAATTCTTTATACTACATGATGACTATTATAAAAATAATATATATATATTTATTTATTTATATATAAAGTGAGACTATTTCTTGGCTGCCGACAGAGGGAAGAAAATTTTATAGGGTCTTATTCATATAGAAGAACAAGGGGGAAAAAATGGTGTATTTGGACTTATAAGGACCATACCGATACGAAAGGTAAATCAAGATTTTTTTATGTATAGTTGATGGCCCTACAAACATTTAAAATAAATAAAATAAAAAATAGCAATGATATACAAATTATCAAGGAAATTTTTTTAGGATTGTAGTAAGTTTTCCTTCCTCATTTAAAAATTATTTGGATCTCATATTTAGTATAGATCGATAGTTTTATTGAAAACACGGATGCATACCAAATAAAGTACCATAATTTCTTATCGATATATAAGTCCGCGGAGGTTAGAATATTCTTAAGGCTAATCAATACAATATTGATCAATCATAACTAGAACATACGAGTATAAATTGACAATACATTATGTATAAACAAACATCATGATTCAACTTTTTTTTTTTTTTTTTGTTTAATTTTTTTTTAATATCACCATTCAAACAATACATGTATGAATTACATTGTCTACTAGCCATTAAAATTTCAAAATTAATTGATAGTTAAAATTGCAATCAGCACTTCAACATCAACATTTGATCCTTTTCTTAAAAAAAAAATAAAAATGAAACTTTGCTAAGCATTATTCAAGAAAAGGTATCTTTATTGCAAGAAATAACAAATTATTTCATGCCCATTAATATTTGAAATGAAATTCTAACGACATTATTTAGTATCCGATAATTAATTGCACGATTTTGAGATTATCGATTGCCTTTTGTCTTTTCCAAGCTTGACTTGAAGTAGAAACCTCTACAAATTAAGTAAAAAATAATGGTGCATTGATGCACTTCTAACTTTAATAATACAACCTTATACCATATGGTGATGTTCAAGTAAAAGAAGAAAGAAAAATCGACACATTATTCTTGTAAGCCCGAGTACTATTGATTACTTTGCCTTTGTATTTTTGTCTGTGTCTTTTATGTTTAATAATTATTAGATTTAATATTTTATGAGGAAAAATAATATTTTTTTAAAAAATTGTAAAAGTTGTATAAAAAAGATTCAAAGTAATAAGAGCCTCCGATTTTTTTTCTTTGAATTGTACCAATTTGTTTTTTTTTTTTTTTTTTTCAAGATTATGACATGCATCTAATTATACACTTAATGGGGCATAGTTATTTATGTTTTGTAATATCTAATTTACAATTATATATATATTTTTATTAAAAATTTGTATTTTAAATTTATTATCATTCAAAACATAATATTAACGATACATTTTTCTATTAAAAATGACATAAATTCGAAACAACAAAAAACAATCTAAAATACTCGTAATTAAGTTTTCTTTTGTTCAATATATATATATATACTACTATGCAAAAAATATATGAAAACAATTCATCTACTTCATTTATGTATTTATTATAAACACTATTAATTTGTCTATTTCAAATTGATTATGCGAGGTTCAATTTTTTTATAATTTATTAATGACTACTATTATTAGAAATTTATGAATACATTTTGAAAAATTAGTTTGAAATTTAAACTAATATTGAGATTAAATTTTAAATAATATAGAATTTTGTTTGAAAAACCACACGAACCATCTTGAACTCAATTGACTATGACTCACATGATGATATACACTCATTAAACTTAAATTTGCATACTAGTGAGTAAATGATTGTAATAAAAAAAAAAAATCTACTTACAATTATCTAACACACCAAACAAGGTAGGGTGAGGTCAATATTGTTACAAAAATATACCAAATTCAATATATATATATATATAATTCAATAGAATTTGATTATTAAATTCGATCTAGACTAATCTACACGGGATTCCAAAATAAAAGATTTCACTATACTTTGAATAGATATATATGTATATAGAGGGTTGAAATCTAAGTCTATATCTGACATATCACAACAAACATTAAATTTATACTTTTTTATGATTGTTTGTTATCTTAACAAATCATAACCATATTCTCATTTTTGGATTTTTTTGTTATAAGATTTTACAATCTAATAATCCCCTTCTTGAAAACTGATTGCACTTATTGCATAACTTCAAATTTACACGTTTCATTTGAAAGTCTTTCATGTCTTAGATCCAAAAATTATGGCATAACCTTAATCGTCTAATTGTCCTGTAGAGATCAAATTTGTCTTCAAGAGTAATATGTCTTTGACGTCATGCAGCTCCCATTCATCAACTGCGAGTTTTGTTCTTGACGTCCTATTTTTCCAAAATCCTCAACCTTTAATCATATGCAAGATAAACAATTCCGAAATATTTGAATGTGAATTTGCCATGATCTTTGAGTTATTGTAAGAGTGAAATGAAACCCTAGAACCCAAAACCCATGACTTCAAAAGAATGTTTGTGGTCATAATAAAAATATCCCTTATATCTTCCGTCATTGCATTGGCTGAATTGTTACTCCTCTTATCTCAATTCGGTGCTCTGCATTAATTCCGATAATTTCCAGACTTTGCACAATTCTAACACATGACATGAGTTAATTTTTTTCTTGGACCTACAACAATTAGTCAACTTGAATCCATCTTGATTTGTTTGTGTGGAATTACCTTTAACTTGATTTTTCGTACTCAGGTTAAATCTTGTCACATTCTATCTTCTACAATTATTTTCGCTCAAAATCAAATCTTTGATGTTATCAAATTTCATTTTCTCTTTTCCTAATGATACACTAACTTATGTGACAATTTCTTCCCATATTTTTGAAAGACTCAAAAGTAAGATTAGGGCTTTCACCTCATCATCATCAAATTCAATATTAACATAGGTCAACTACGATGTGATGATATTGGATTTTTTGAGGTCATCAGCTACAATTGTAGTTCCCGACATCTTAAAGTTGAAGAGTTTTTACATCTTATTAATTTTATTGACTGTAGGCGGCTTTTCCTACATCTCTTCCAAGATTTGCAATGTTTCATTTATCGATTTTTCTTTGCCATGCATATGAAACTCCACATTCTGCAAAAGCGACATACGAATTACTGCCATGGCTTTTCTATCCAAGATTTTCCATTCATTTTCTTTCATATATTTTGACTTCTCTTCTAAGGGTTCAAAAACCCATTCCATAGAGGTAATATAATGTGCAAATTTAAAAAACCATAGGCGACTCAATCAAATTTGTTGATGAGAAACTTTCCTTGCATCATTGTGTCTGTTCCCATTTGATGAGGCTTTGATAACAATTGTTACGAAAATATTCTAATATTTAAAAAGAAATAATATGAAATTCAAGAGAATTTGATATTTCAGTTCAATCTAAATTTATCTATGTTTGGAGTGCTGATAAAAATTTCACTATACTCCGAATCAATGGATTATTAAAAAAAAAAAAAAAAAAAAACACTAAAACGTAATACTCTATCCGTTCCAAAACAATAGTCTCATTTTGTCTATCCCGAAACAATAGTCTCATTTCTATTTTCGGTAACTATCTCCACACATTTTTACAAAATTATCTTCATTTTTTCACAATAATTACATAAAGTAGAGGTATTGTGGTCTTTTAGAAACACTTTTACACCCACTGTCAATATTTACTATCTCTCCACATTTTTACAAAACTATCTCTCCAATCTTGTAGACAAGAGTGGCCCCACAGGTCAACACGAGTCATTTTAGCGCGCTTCTGTCCTCACTCACGCGCACTTTAGGAGACTTCCTAGAGGGTCACCCATCCTCAAATTACTCTAGGGCTAGCACACTTGACTTTAACGTTCTTTTAGTTGGGCTCTCGAAAAAGATGTGCACATTGTTAACATAAGTAGTCAATTTAATCCAATTAACCTCTTATCAACTTCGGATGACCTAATACCGGCTCATCTACATACGGGAGTTGGCCAAGCAGTGGCCCAACTCCAAGGTATCACATCCTCCTCCACTTTAAAATGCAACGTCCATCGACTATGATACGAACTGTGACACCCCGACCCGCAAGCCATACCAAGTCGGGCATGTCCGGATTGTAGACTGACCCCATAGGTCAACACGAGTCTTTCCAAGAGGTTTTTGTCCTCACTCACGCCCACTTTAGGAGAATTTCCAGGGGATCACCCATCCTTAAATTACTTTAGGGTTAGCACGTTTAACTCTAGAGTTTTTTTAGTAGACTTCCGAGAA